GGGGGGGGGGGGTCCTGGGTGTGAGGCAGAGAGGGGAGGTCCCTGGCCTGACGTGCCTACAAAAAGTAGCCTGATGGGGGGGGACTGCGCCGCTGTTTTTCTCTTGCTCGCAGGGAAGAAAAAAAAAAAAAGGTTCGACCACTGGCCTCATTCCAGTGCTCCAGCCTATAGTCCCCCGCCCGAAGAAACTCCGATGAATGGATTACATAATCCATCGTCACCACTTCTGATGCGGCAGCGGGAGGCATCGTAGGCAGCAGCAGATGGCAGCAGGCAGTAGCAGAGCAGCCTTCACACCTCGTCACCAAGTAGTCTGGAAGAAGTCTCTGCCTTTCTGCATGATTCTTTCTCCAAGGAATTTGCAGTCAGGCCTTTTCAGGTTCTGGAGTTTGATGAGGGAGACGGGGGTTAATCGCCTAGGCTTCTTGAGCCTTGGGGCTTCAAGGTGCTTTTAACCCAAAGCCATTGTCAAGGTGCCAACATCCCTTGGCAACAAGGCGATGTATTCCGGTGAAATTGTAGTCAGGTGAGTGATTCTTTCTTCCATGGGCAGACCATATCGAGGCTTGTCCTGCCATGCGCCCGGCTAGTCGGAAAGATAATATGGTCAATGTCGCTGATGTTGGACAAATGTTGGTTCCGTCGTCCAGCGATTCGCGAAGGATGTGGGTTGTGCGCTGTGGCTGACACCTGCTGGCGCGCCACGACTCAACGCCACATCTGACATCTGATATGGAGTATGAGTACAGGCAAACAATACATTAGCAAAACCATCGAACCGCTGCCCACTTTGTTCCACCAACAAGGAAACAGCATCCTTCGGTCCTTGCTCGGTCCTTGCACGTACCATATAAACGAAGTCATCGCTCCATCTACTATAAATTCGCAAGCCCTTTTCTAGTAGTGCATTTTCTCCACTCCTCTTCATCGCATCCATGGTATATCATTCGATTGGCAACTGTCCAATCAATATAAATAATGGCAGATCCAAATTCGATACCAGGCGTTCAGGGACAATGGTTCCGTTGCTAGGAGATCAAGATATCCGTGTCATGACCAAGCACGGTTGGTAATTCTAGAGACGAATGGTATCTTCATGACAATTATGCATGTCAGTATCAGAAGTCGCCTACCAACAGTCCACTCCTTCCTTGTACGCCTTCGACAATGGACCCCGCTCGCTCCTTGTCAACTCATCGCCCTTTGTCCATCTTTGTCCCGTATTTCGTGTTGACTCTACTAGGCGCATCATTCATTCGTGTCTTCATTGCCCACGTGCCCCTTGGTCCACTTCCATGGCTCCCCTTCTATCTCGTATCTGATGGATTTTTTATACCTTTCTTTTTTCTTGAAAAAAAAAGTAAAGTAAAAAGGGGGGGGAGGGGGAGGAAGCAGCCTGTCATCCGCGCATGGTAGCCATATGGTCTCGAATCATGACTTAGCTCTCCAGAAACAGCATCTCGCAGCTTCCTTGACCATGGCCCAAGACCGCCTAACAGCCTTCAGGGGCAGGGTCTTCATGGCCAAGAAGCATCCATTCATGATGCCCGACGAAGACTTCCAGGAACATGGGCAGCTTCCCCAATTCCTCCCCCGATTCCACTGGCCTAAGGTGCGTCACGAGCCCAGCTGCGACGACATATCCCATGATCTTCTCCGAAACAAAGCAGACGAGGGACAACGCTGAGCTCGAGGCGCGGGTCAAAACTGACTACCCAGACCTTCCTCCGAGCCCCGCTTTCAAACATACGGGAAACTCTCGCATCAAGATGTGTCGCAACCTTTGGTGGGAGCACCACGTTGCGTAGTGCCATAACATGCTCGTATACACGCAGGAATTCCGGCGGGAACTGCTCTCAACAGAGGGCATGGTCCACATGCTGGCCATCATCTCATACGGCATGGGCCAGTCGATGACCTTGCTGGAACACCCTTTCTCCGTGGCGGGCCACGGCAATCCGCGGGCAGGTAGGCCGCCGCATCACGGCCGAAGACCGAGATATAGCCACCTATGACCTAGGGATACGTGACATTGACCTTCTATACCATCTCCAGGACTCTTCGCTCCATCTCCAGGACTGGGCCCCCATGGATATAGTAGAGCCACGTTCGGGCCTCGGGGCTGTGATGCACATCCTGCGCGTCATGCTGTGCAACGAACTTGGCCTGGACGACCAATGAAGAGATGACAAAGCTGGGTCCGGCCCATCCCGAGGGTGCGAGGCGCACAGCAATCAGCCGAATCGCCAACGCCGTCATACAGATGGAGAAGAGTACCTTTACCCTACCGCCCTCCATATCTTGGGCCGAGTTTGGGGGCGCGCAGTTTGCCCTGTCGGAGTCTCTGGCCGCGGTCCCGCGGCTCCAGATGATGACTTCGCGGGCCCATGATCCTGATGGGCTTCGGGATTACATTGCCCACAGACCAGGTGAGCTGAACCCCTGGTCCCGACTTGTGGACTGGTCTTCGGCCTTCTCCTTCACCACGCAGAATCCCGTCGTACGGGCATCACGCCTCTCGCTCGACCACAATCGCCACGGCGTCTCGCCCGGAAGGATCAGTGAAGGAAGGTGGGGGAGACGGAGGCAGAGACGGATGAGTAGGATACGCTGATTCGTATTGAGACATGGCTGGTACAGCGAGAGCCACGAGGTCGGGGGTGGGGGAGCAGAGCCTACCAGCCGAGAGGAAGTCTGGGGATCTCATCGCACCTTCCCTCCCGGGCGGGACCTGGTACTTTCCCTGAGGATACACCAAGTCCCGAGATCGGCAGCCCGCCCGACTGTCGATGCGCAGCCTGCGGAAATCGACATGGTCGACGAGAAGACAAGTCGTGGGAGCAGTGGGCAGCCCCTGGGAAATAGCAACGCGCCGGTGGGACCAACTGACGACGCCGTCTCCTCCTGCCCATGGTCCGGTTATGGTCTTAGGATACTGGAATCATAGGGTTTTTTTATCATCATCCCAGACCTGCATTGCCCGGTTCCAGCCGTAACCCAGCTCCGAGATCGCCAAGACCGACGCGCGGCCGTGCCCCCCCCCCCAAGGATGCCATCCCACTCTTCCTCCTTCCCTTGTCTCTCCCCCTTCCCGCATCGGCGACGAGCGGAGGGTTGGTGAGAGCGACGAGAGCGAAGATGAGGTTGATGAATCTGATACCGGGTCTCGGCCTGCCGAACGGCGTAATATGTAGCTAAGGATGGAGGGGCACATATGTCTACGCAGCATATACGGTCTTGGATGAGGGAAGGGGAGGCGTGATGCGCATTCATTGGTTAGCATGCATTGTCTTCGTTTCCCTTGTATTTCTCTTGGGGGGGTATTTTATTTTTGATATTCGAATATGGAGGTAGAGCAGCAGTGTCAACAGTAGAATACATCTTTCTTAACAGAGTGGAAGTTTTTGATCTGGACATGTTGTCAGTACCAGTCTGTCTCGTAACATGTTGGGCTTCCAGCTTGAACAGATCAATGAAAAGTAATACTACTTGACTGCGAAACATTGAGCAATCGGATACAGCTAATGCCACCTTGCACGGACACACGAATCCTCGTTATATCAGGTCTACGCAGCTGCGACAAGAGAAGCCCAGCCGGATCTTCAAAGATGTTCGCTCTTGTCTCGTACCACGGGGGTTCTTTTTTTCTTCTAGTCCCCGCCATTTTTGTCTTGATATCTTTTTTTTTCTAAACTTTTCTCTGCGTCTTTCGCTCTCCCCACCCCTCCTTCTCTTATGCAGGGTTCGCTGGTGTTTCTCCCTAGTTGGCTATGTACTTTTTTTTTGGCTTTTTTTTTTCTTTTTTTCCTTTTCTTTCTGTTTCTTTCTTGTTCTTTATGGGCTAGGAGGGTGAGAAGTTTTTTATTTTGTTTCATTTTATTTTTCGACAATGATGATGCCGATCTAAGAACGTACAGTTCTCCAGAGGATCTACGAGTATACAAATGTCCTTTTTTTCCTTTTTTTTTTTTTGCCCGCATATGCTTGCACAACAAGAAATAGGTTTAAATTTACCTGGTGCTAGCGGTAATATTACAGTACTGCATGTAGCAGTATTACATGCAGTATTAATATCGAGAAGGAATAACCGGTAAGACCAGGAAACGGTAGAAGGGAAACAATTGCCTGTCTTCAACTGTTCAGTACGGATATACCGGTTTTAGCTGCAATGCCTGTAACCTGTGACCTACTGTTCTTATCCGCTGCCCTTTTGTCTCGGGAAGTTGGGGAGTTTTGGGGGAGATGGGGACTGATATGTGTTGGTGTTATTATATACCGATACCTGTGTGTTATATCTCGTTAGCTAGTACGGATTATTGTTATGGTCGTGATAACTTGTACGTGCTCTGCTCACTCTCTCTTTCGTTTCTTCCCCCCCCCCTGTAATCTGTACAGATTACATAAACAGATTCTGCTCTGCGTCAGCCCTCAAACTGCAACAAAGAAGACCACGTACGGAACTTCGTTCTGCTTTCCTTCCATTCCTACTCTTCTGGTCGACCGTGGTTTCTTTCCTCCCTCCGAGAGCCTGTACGTAGCATTATGTTCCTCGTGATAGAAAAAAAAAACTCCAAATCCTTATTACATCAGTGCCGACATGCAAGCTCTCAAGATTGGCAAGTCATGCGTACAGGGTAGTGACGGTGACTGTTGCGCATGACAGCATGATCTCAGGTCACAGGGTCCCCCCTCCCTTTGATATATTTTTTTTTTGCTACACACTGACATAGTGAAGAGTGTCATCACGTCGTAACCACTGCGGCCGACGAGTTGGAGGAAACGATAAACTGTGATTCTATGCCTGAAGACTGGAGACTATTGGTTGGGGGCACCTTTGGGGGGGGGGGGG